TGCGGGGGTTGGCAGCAGCCCCTGAGCTCTGCCCTTGACTCGGGGGGTGCCCCGGGAAGCAGCTCCCCGCGCTCCCGCAGCCCTCGCCGGTACCCAGCCAGAGCTGGGAAATCACATCCTCGCTGCCAAGTGCTGCCTTTTGCAATTTGCTGCTCGGCGTGTCGTGTGTGCGTAGACTTTCCTATAATTTTTTTTTTTTTTTTTTGGCTTTTTGCTTTCTGAGCAGCAGGAGATGCAGCCCCGGGGTGGCTGGAGCCCCTCAGCAGCAAAGTGACGTAAAATACTTTGCTGTGTGCATGCAACTTCAGATTGCAATTGGGGAGGCTTTCTGCAGAGGTTTAAATTGTGAGAAGGAGGTAAGATGTATGCACACCAGGGCGGAGGTTAAACGTATGTAAAAGTTTACAAAATAAGTTGGAGCTGCTCTTGTGTTGAAACAAATAGCGATGCTTTTCCTGGGATCTTATGGATCACCAAAAATCTCATGGGAATCAGGTAGAATTGTGTTCTCCATATGGTCTTAACGCGGTAGGTGACAGCTGGCTGGCTGCCTGGGGGGGCTCGAGTCTCTTCTCCCTGCCCGTGTCACCTAAAAAAACGGATGCAGCAACGATTGTCCTCCAGTTGCTGCCGATGTGCTGGAGAAAAATCTGTTTGTTGCACCACGGTGGTGTAAAAGCAGCAGCGGGCAGCTGGCCCGTGGCGTGTTTCTGAGGGGGCTCAGGTGGGTTTCGGTGCAGGGAGGAGGGAAGCCGCAAGAGTCGGGGGCACCGGATTTACGCCAGCGGCCGCAATCAGAACTTCTCTGTTTGCCATGGTTTAAAAAAAAAAAAAATTCTTGTTAGCAGGTGAGAAAGTTCTTCTGCAGAATACTAAATATCACACATTTAAGATCAGTGGTTAGCCAGCACGGGAGGATAAGTAGGCCAAATTGTTCTGCGTCATAAATCACAGGAGTCAGTGGACTTAAATTTAGCCCATCGTATGCTAAAGATCTTGAAATCAAGGCAATTTAAAGGTAAAAAAAGCGTAGGTGGGAGAGCAATATTTGGGGAATATTTTTTTTTGCGCTTCTGTGAAGGTACTAGCCTCAAAACATAGCTTTAGCCTGAGCCGTAGAGCAGTTTTACTTTAAAGGCTTTATTTTTTTAATTTATTTTAACATTTGCATGGGGAAGTTTTTCAGAACACGTACTGTAATAAACCTTGAATTCCAGCTGTTCTAGTGTTCTGGATGACTTTTTGTTTCTTTTGGATGAAGAAGATTTGTTTTACAGTAACTGTCCGTATTTTTCTCTTTTATTGGTACACATTTTGCACATACTTATACACCAACTTTTGTGTGGCTTTTTGTTCTTTACACAATCATGTATTTTATTTTCTTTTTAATCATGTAAACATGAGGGTTCTGTGGGATTTAATTATTCATGTATTGCATGTGTCCATTTAGATATATCCAGCATCTTGTAGTCAAGCAATATGAAATTATATATGAAATTATTTTACTATAATTTCTCAATCTCGCTTTCATTTACCCAATGGAGGAAAAACAACTGTTCTGCAAAATTTCTTTTATACACAAATGAGCCTTCTTCTGAAAAAATGTGTTTAAGATATAACGAGTGATGGGAAGATACACAAGCCAAAGCAGGACAGAGGGGAAAAAAAAAATAAAAATAATCTTAACAATCTCAGCTATTGATGAAGACCTGCTGGATAACATTCAGATTGATTATTCATCCTAGTAACTACTTTTTCCTTTTTGTTTATCCATTTCACTTAATGATTTTCTGTGTATTGTTACAGACATCTCAACAGTGAGCATGCGCTGGATGATAGAAGTACAGCCCAATGTAGAGTACAAATGCAGGTTGTACAGCAGTTAGAGCTACAGGTAAAATAAAATTTATTTTGATATTACCTCAGTATTAATCAAATCCAATTCTCGACAGCAATAAAAAATGAGTTCTGCTTTTCCCCCTATGATTGAAAACCAGCTTTCAAAACCTCCTTGTAGTAGTTTTAAAAACCGTCAAAAGAAACTGCAGCTTCATTTCCTCTTTTCTAAACCGTAACTCGAAAAGAAATAGGAAACTTAAACAGGCTGACTGATTGGAAATCCATCAGTATGTATCTAATGCTTTTTATGCTCACCCGGGGGGGCGGAGGGGGGTGAGTGGAATATGGTCCCCTTCGTTTAGAGCTGTTGATACAGGGGAAATGGTTGATGATTATTTCAAAACGCTGCATGACCTGGCTTGTTTGGTGGTCTCTCATATACTAACACTCTCCATGTATTCTTCTTCTTCTTATTATTATTACTATTATTTTTTGCCATTTGTAGCAAATGAGTTTTTTTAAAAGTGCCAAAAGGGGGTAAATTGGAACATATTGAATGCGATGCAAAGGTATGACCTGTTTGTGTAACTGCCTTTCCAAATGCTTTTTAGTCCTTCCTGTCTCCCTGCACCTCGCTGCTCTGGCTGGGCAGCTTCAACAGTGTGTCTGTGTGTAGGCAAGAGGTTAGCAAAGAAGGGGAAATTAAAACAATGTTGTACATTATATAGTTACCAGCTATTGAAAAACCTATTTTGTATGCAAGACAGCAGCGTAGAGATATATGGAAAGCCTTGGGCTAAGTACAGAAGATAATTACATTTGGAATTTTACTGAGTTAAGTCATTTATAGCTTCAAATAGTTGGAGAGAAAAATCAGCAAAAACATACTTAAACTTCTTGTTGTTACTTTTCAAGATAAGCATTTAAAAAAATGTCTTTTATCTCCTTATCTTACAAATTACCCTTTTTCTTTCATAGATATTTCCTAAATTTTCCTTTCAGGAACACACTGGTCATGACATTCTTTCACTATTAGCTGAAGCAATATAAACTATTTTAATACAAGTTTTATAAAAATCAAACTACCAGTCTTGCAGAAAACGTTATGAGAAATGGTCTGTTATTTTAACAAGTTTCTCAGGAATTAGAAAAAAAAAAAAAACAACCTGCAGTCTTCCTGGTAAGCTGAGATAGCAGATGATCTTTTACCAGGATGCAGTAATGTTGAGGCTGAAGGTAGAGGGAGATTCTTCAGTTGCAGTCAGCTTGAAAAGCATTAATCCAGCACTCCTGCAGTCACTGGGAATGGCTGTGCCTGGAACTACGGGAGGATGCCCTTCGTTAACAGTTGGGCAGGACAGAAGTGATACTCGGTTAGCACCTCTCCATAAGCCTTAGACAATATTTTCAAAAGATTTATCAGCGGTGCGTTCTAGTAATTGTTGTAAGTGACTAACAGCCTCACACCCCTTCGGTGCTGGGGAGTATCTCTTAGCTTAGAGTCGTTGCATTGGAAGGCAGCATAACGTCCCTGAGACAAGAACATAATTTCAAAGTGGTGTGAGGGCCAAAAAGTGCTGGATTTGTTTTTAACAACCATACTAGCACAGTAGATAGAATGAACTGGAGGCTTAATTTAGACAGAGATGTTGATAACAGTGAAACCATCTATGCATTGGCCAGCAAGGATAGGTGGAGGAGGAGGAGGATGGTCTTGCTTCTGAAATGCACCTGTAACTCCCTTCTTCTGCCTTTCCTTTCATCCTATGTATCAGTCCTCTGATACTTAAAAAAGAAAAATCTGCCTAAACAAGTGCAAGGATTTGTCCTCCAGTGCCTAGTTTGCCTGGCTGCGATGTGTTTTTGCACAGAACCATAACAAAACAAAAGCGCGACCCAGAAGCAGAGTTTTCCATGGCATGGTCTGCAGCGCCTGACGTGTTGTTGCATTAAGACCAAGACCAGCTAAGACCATTGACTTGATGCTCCTGCAGTGGAGCAGTTACCAACAGAGTGGCGACTCTTTTGAGTTTTGTGAGCGAGATAGGAGAGGGACCCGTAGCCTTTCCCACTTGGCCCACAGCGCTCAGCACTGACGAGAAGCTTTTCCTTCTTGGAAAGCACAATGGAGCTGTGAAGTATCACATGCTGTTTAGGGTCCTACACCATGGCAAGATCTAAATGCCGCACCATTTCATGCATGTACAGCCACATCAAGGCAGGAGTAGAATTTAACAAATTCATTGCGAGGGATGCGTTTCAGGTTTTGGGTGTGATGAACCCAAACACAAGCTTTTCTTTTTTTTCTTTATGCTCTTACTTATTTTACGCGCAATAGTTTTATCAGTATCGTAGACAGAGATAAGTGTAATGTCTTTTAAAGAAAGTAATTTTTAAATTAACTTTTTGAAAAAAACAGGTCAGTTTTGTGTTTGATTGCAAATGCCCCTTTGCAGAAGTATCTCGAAGCTTTTTTCCACCACAGACATACTTAAAATATCACAGACAAGGTAGAGACCTTCTCGTTTTTCACTTTGTTTAAACCATCTTGACATGATCATTTGTTGCCATTATAAATAGTGAGAATTGGGCTGCTGGGTAAAACACAAACACAGGAACATATCCTTATCCTTAGCTAGTTCTTAGCTGGAATAGGACATCCATTTTGCGGCACCACCTTTAAGTGGAAAAACATTTTGGGACAGCAACAAGGCTATGATAAGTTTAAAAAAGTGTCTCCTAGTGGGGGAAAATGAAGAAAGCTGGTCATTTTCAGTGTAGTGAAAACCCTGCTTGGGCCTGTTTTCCTAAAGCATCCATTGACACTCTTGAAAAGTGGATCCTAAACCTTTCTAGTGCACAGCCTAACTAGACTTGTAACAGGAGGGAAGAGGCTGTGTCTTGGTTGTCTCTTGGATTGCCCATGACTGGCTTCCTTCACCTTTGTTGTTGGTCTGTCTAAAATCCTGCTGCTGAAGTGATCTCCCCTTCCTGTTGATGTCGCCATGTTGCTCCTGTTGAATGCCTTCACTGGGTTTCCATTTT